ATTTGTAATTCAATGAGAATTGAATAATAAATGCAATACTTCGAAATGGTGTTAATTTATCACTTTTTAGACGATATAGAAATATCAAGCATGTAAAATATTATTGATTTTGTTATTATTGTGTTTTTTTTCAATTTCTGTGCCAGCTACAAGTTTTTTCAAAAAATATTTGGTGTTACTCTTTTGATACTGGCTAAATTATTTCTTCTACGTTTCAACATGTTTTATATTTTATGCATATCTTATTAATTATGTATTACTGGCGGCTACAAAAGAGCGTAAAAGGTTGCGTTATTTTTAGTTGCAAGCGGTGCAAAAGAGTTTTTAAGTGAAAAATAACATCTACCTAATTACCTTTTATCGATGTAAGATGTTCTCCGAAAGCGTACAGCGTAACCAAAACCGTTTAATTTTATTAAAATCTTGTTTCAAAGAGCTAACCCGCCCTGTTTTTGCAAATTATTACGACTTATCTTTAAAAAAAATATCTAAAATCGCTACAAGTTAGGTACGTAGTATAAACTCTACACGTTCGAAACATTATTTCACTAAATAATATTTTCAAAAATATTGTACCACTTTGAATCAATTCATCTTACTTAATTATGATAAACGAGTCTAAGATAAATTATTACGTGGCTTACGTTAAGTTGCATTTTGCTGACACGACGAGGAAAACCCTCTTCGCCAGGATGGCATTCGATACGCAGTGTAGTGTAAAATTACCAACATTATCATTGTTCTTGTAATGCCCAAAACTAAGAATCATCCTTTACTTTGGTGTTGTTGTATTAAATACTTGTTTTACTAGCCGCCTTTTAAATTTTCCAATCGCCTATTAAAACGTCACACGAGCTTTTATGAAAACTTTCCTTCATTGTGAAACTAGGCTGATAAAATGTTAAACAAGTATATAATTTGTTGTAAATGACTAAAAAAGTAATTTTCTTTGTTTTAAAGTGTAAAATTAGGATTTGTTGCTTAAGTTAATTAAAGCGTAAATAAAAATATTAAGCATTAATCACGCTGCAACTTTTGTATAAATAAGTATATAATTCTATGTGCTGTAGTGTAACTAAATAAATACAATTCAACACCCTGCCATGTTTTTATGCCGATATAATTTCATGTAATATTATTACATTAAGTACAGTTGAATAGGTTATTAGAGCGTTGGATTTCTGTGATATTTTACGAGCGTGGATAAAATATTGAACGTTTATTTGTGAGTGTTGTCGATAACGCGGGTGTACAATTCGATTTCAATCTACTTTGTAAGTACAATCGGTGATTATTTGTGGTGGTGTGACGTATCGGATCCGGCACGGTCGCGCGGCACGCGGCCGATCGGATCCACTCACGCGACCATCCTTACGCCAATTCCGATTTTGTTACTTAATCGAATACTTATCTCACGACCATCGAATTAATCTTCCCTTTTTATTTTTGTTGCTATAAATATACTTTTAATTTAGCACTAGTCTACTATTATCCGCAACCGTGTTTTTGTTCTGTTATAATAACCAGTTGGTTTTTACCGTATTTTTAAGTTATTCTCGGAGTTATCTTTTTTTCTTCACTTAACAATCAAAGTCAAAAGTAAATAAATGATTTTACTGCTAACCAGAAAAAAATTAGTTTTCTGATTGTAAATAAATAAATTATGACTTTACAGAAAGTACTATAAAATCGTTACTTGTATCAACTTGATTTTTTGATAGCTATCGTTATATCACGGTTATTTGTTATAAAAGACAAATGGCAATGCCAGATTTTGTATGGAAGGTGGCGTCTTTTTTTTTTCGCGCGGCCATCGACCTAACTTTGTTTTTTTATTACAAAATGGTGTAATAAACCAAACTTACTATGGCATGTATACCTCTAAACTCAGTCTGAACTGAGTTACGAGCATTAGAAGTTTAATGATTTTCATACTAGATTTGCTTTTTGCGCGCAAGTTTTGTAAGAAATTGCAACAAAATATTGCGCTATTTTTTTATTGCGCTGATTCTGCTGCATACTGATGTCTGGAGCCTTTAATGGANAATATCTCATTTCCTATGGGTTTTTTGCTATTTGTATTTATTATCAATATTGTAGAATACTAAATTCTCTACAAATTTTGTTTAAAATTTTTTTTTATACGGTGAACCGTTTTCGAGATAGAGGGCGGAGAGCGCGCGGTCACTGCATCACTTCAGGTCAACTTAAGCGGTTTAGGTTTTTCATACAAAACGATTTTCCCGCTAATTCCCGTTGGAATTTCGGTAATTACTTGTTGTAATTTAGCTTTAAGTTTACTAAGGTACCTACATGCCAAATTTCAAGCGTCTAACTTCCTTCCGTCTGTATGATCCTTATAGAAACAAAAACTACTCGACGGATTTTAACGAAACTTGGTACAATTATTCTTCATACACCTGGGCAGGTTATAGTATACTTAGGAATTCCCACGGGAACAGGAATTAGCGGGAAAATCCTTTTGTATGAAAAATCTAAACGCTTAACGGAAGTTAGACGCTTGAAATTTGGCATGTAGGTACCTTAGTAAACTCAAAGCTTAGTTACAACAAGGAATTCCCGAAATTCCCACAGGAATTAGCGGGAAAATCCTTTTGTATGAAAAATCTAAACCGCTTAAGTAGACCAGTAGGCCTAAGATGCACGCATCGACAATGACATGATATGATAAGACAATTTTCGATCACGTAGATAATTTTATCATTTTCCCTAACATGGGACCATCGATAGAAAAGTCTATCGACCGCTATCGCGTGATAACCGAATTGTTGCCATATTAAGAAAAAATTGCGTTATTATGTTGGCCAACCTTGAAATATTTTAGCTCATTCGTTCAATCTCGTTCATTTCTGCTACTAATTCGGCTAAAAACACATATCTTAAAGCAGTGAGAACGTCATTAAAAAAAAGTTATGTCAATTTTGTTGACATTACATGACTGCTTGATTGTATTTGTTTGTGTTTTTAAAATTGTATTTTTATGTTTCCAGTCTTATTTTTAATATTTCTAAAGTACGGAAAATATCAAACGAAGAGATAACCAAGTTAATGAAAAACAATGAAGAATTCCTAATCATACCGACAGTATTAAAGAATGAAGTCTTCAAAATTAACAGAATAACCGAACTCCACTACCTACCCCATAATGCGAGGTTTACAGTAATTATTCAACTTACATGAAGCAGTCAGAAAGTTTATTGAGATTTGAGAAATAAAGTTACACTCATAAGTAGCAAAGTAAGTACCTAAAGTCTAAAATATTAGCTATACTTGGCGTCTTTTTTTTTTCGCGCGGCCATCGACCAAACTTTGTTTTTTGATTACAAAATAGTGTAATAAACCAAACTTACTATGGCATGTATACCTCTAAACTCAGTCTGAACTGAGTTACGAGCATTAGAAGTTTAATGATTTTCATACTAGATTTGCTTTTTGCGCGCAAGTTTTGTAAGAAATTGCAACAAAATATTGCGCTATTTTTTTATTGCGCTGATTCTGCTGCATACTGATGTCTGGAGCCTTTAATGGATGGTATTGTTTGTTTACACATACAATGTCATTATTTTGTTGCAATTTCTTACAAAACTTGCGCGCAAACAGCAAATCTAGTATGAAAATCATTAAACTTTTGATGCTCGTAACTCAGTTCAGACTGAGTTTAGAGGTATACATGTCATAGTAAGTTTGGTTTATTACACTATTTTGTAATCAAAAAACAAGGTTTGGTCGATGGCCGCGCGAAAAAAAAAAGACGCCAATTTCCGGCATTGTCTTTTGTATATTGCATTACAATTATTTCATTTTATTATATTTTTGTCACTATTAAAGAATCGTTGTTGATTTCGATAGTGACAAAATAATAGAATACGAATAATAAGAAAGCTGGTATCATGATATTATTGCAAGTTTTTTCTTTTCATATTTGTGGAAATCATGTTTTTCTCGTAGCTACGGAGGTATGCCGTAGCAAAATTTTCAATGCTAGCTTACATAAAATAATATGCGCCTTTATGACTTAATGTGAAAATGAAAAGTGTATAAAGTGTGTAAACTAAAAATATTTTTCATTCTTATATTTCCAATTGCATTTTTATAAGTCATAGTTATAAATATAGGGTAGTTGTAATTTAGTATAGACTCGGCCGAGCGGCAAACATTTGCCGAACAATAAAGAGATGAATGTAATCGATCGCGCCACAATAGGCTACAAAAAATAGACTTCACAGAACGTTAAACGATGCAACAGAGCTTATTTATTTTCAGCATCTCTACTCTAACAGGAAAACATAATTATTTGGCGGTTTATTAATATACGCTAGTTGTGTTAAGCATAATGTTATTAAAGATAAGTTAATAAAATTTTGTGTTTAGTTTACTGTATTATTCTTAAATTTTGTTACTTAATAATTAATTTGTAAAACCATTTTGGGCTCATTTTTGTTTTAATAAATTGTTATCCTATTTAATTAAATATTTTAATTAAACTTATCATTGTCTAGAAAAACCCAGCGAATGTTTAATTCATGTCATAAAAAAGAAGCATGCTTTGTTAAGAATGTTAATTAATACTTTACGGTATAAGTATGCAAAATATTGCATCTGAAAAATTTCGCGCATGTCACGGGTTAAGGCTTGTTAAGCGATAAAACGCATTAAATATTTTTTATGTGAATAATTTTAATGTTCATTAAAAGATGCACTTTGCACATTAACGGAAATATTTTATTCGTGCATCGGAAGCGCCGGTCATGCCTGTCTCGCGTGTGAGTAGCTGCGGCTGCAAAGCTCGCGACCGGCTTTTTCAGACGCTCGCTTATGTGCGACTCTACCCAACATGTCTTATTGTTAACGTTATCAATTTAAGCTTTGTTAAGTTTTGAGAAAATTTTACAACTTACATTGTTACCTAAATGCACAAAAAGTACGAAAAATTTTAAAAATTGCAAAAAAAAATATTACAATAAAATATAAAAACTCACCTCTATCAGTTTAGTGAAATACTGTAGTGCACCCGTGGTGAGCCGGCGGAGGAGGGATGTTGTTATTGTTCACTGTCCAGTGGCAAGAGTTCGATCACCGGAGCGTGATGCTTGCGGCGCGGCCGGGCCGGCACTGACGCGGCGCTGGCGGGCGCTCGGCGGTCCCCGCTCGGAGGCTTCGGCGCGAGCTTTCAGACACAGACCCGCACGCACTGCACACTGCACTCGCCCCTGTCTACCCACGCGTTACGATTCTCTCGATCGTCTAATGTAGCGAACGCCCGACGCACGTTTGAACTCTTCGCAGCGCCCGCCTTACCGTATAAATATGAAGCCCGGTGGCGGGGGCTGGCGTCTACCGCGACGCATTGCGAATCCACGGCATATATTGAAGATGCAGCTGGTGTCCTCCCCGTTGATTTTATTACTTATCTATCGGTCGCGGACAATTAGCAAAAGACACGGTGCGCGGCCGATGTCACGAGCGGGCCCGCTTCCGCTCGACAAACGCCTGTGTATCGCAATTACGAGCACAGGTTCACACCACCATTATGTCATAAACGTATAACGATTGTTGTAATTGCAAGCCCTTACGAGGATGAATTACGTGCCCAGTGTAGATATTATTTGTATTCATACTCGAATAAACTATCACGATTGCATTTGATTAGAATCTAAATACAGCCTTCTATGTTTAAATAATGGATTCTATTTTAAGAAAGTTCAGTACACAGCGGCGCTGTTGTTATTATTATAATTGTACTTTATAGTTTCCAATAAGAATCATTTCAAAGGCACAACTTATGACATATAAACAAACGTAAGTTATACTGGGTCATATACTATATTCTACATCGTTTTACATAATCCGATCCGCCTACCTGTATATGATGGGACTGAGAGACACCAACTCCAGTTCCAATAAGAGGCCTAGGTGTCGCTGTAAGTATATTTAGTAACAAATTGTGTAAAGAGCCCTTAAATGTCCCTACAGGGTTCAGAAATTCAGTAAATAGAATACTCTCCTCCCAACAATCAGTTAAAAATAAAAATAACATCGAAGAAACTCTTCTTGTTTCAACTCGACATAATTAGTCGAGCGCAGAAATCTACTTAAATAGCGACAACTTAATGGAATGGCTCTATTTTACAAAACTTGGCACGCTACAGAAATTCTAGGAAGTGGAGTTAATATCTGTGCAGAGACGCTGCAAGTCTCTATATGGTGTGATTATAGAAGATAACATACTTCGTACTAAGAATTTTAAGGTACTATCTAATCAGTAATCACTCTCTTTATTTAATAACTATCGTTTTGAATATATTCAAATTGATCAGTATAATTTAATTAAAAAATTAGTTTTTATATTACGGAAGTCGTCGACGACATAGTTGAAGTTGCATATTGTTAACATTCCCTTGACAACATCGTGACCTAGTGGGAACAATATTATTAGGAAATCATTAACTAAATTGTTCCTTCGACGCCATACGTAGCCCCAAATTATTTACGATATGTTAACTAGATGCTTATTATCTTAATTAGGCCAACAACAAGAAAGCAAAAATATGAATATTATAATCAGGATGCCAGTATGAAATATACCTAATTAGACGCCAATTACCTTGAATAAACCCTCAACATTTATCTCAAATGTCTAATCAGACATCTATTACTCGTCAATAAAGGCAGAGGTCAATCATTCATTGATTCACTCACTCACTAAACATCAATTCTCTAAGGCTGGGTTGCACCATCTTACTTTAACTTTGACAAACGTCAAAAATCTGTCAAGCTACATAAAAAAAAACATCGGTTATCGTTATATTTACGCTCAAAGTTAGGTGGTGCAACTCAGCCTAACACTTAATCTACTTGACCTAAGAAATGAGGTAGTTAATATGTAAAAAAATATCATCTAAAAGGCATTTTGCGTCTTAAGGGGGTAGACCCCCTGACTGAAAATACTGAAACTTTCGATTGTTATTAGAACAACAATCGAAAGTTTCAGTATTTTCAGTAGGCTTTTCTTTCAAATATGAAAAGTCTATATCATATGCTAGTCTCTATGTCTATAAAGATAAAGCTTATTACAGTTAGGACGTACCTATGCCTGCTATTTTAGAAAGCAACTATTGAGATACAAATTCCTGGAAAATCCAATTATATGTCATTCAGTATTCTTTAACGTAATGTAATAGACAAAGTCCACGCTAGTCATCAATATAAATAAACATATTATGCGTGACTAATCTTCGAAAATATAAATAATTTGCCTGATTTGCCATTTTAAGATTCCATAGCGCAATGTTCTTGGTATCAGAAAGTAAAAGTAATGTGGGAAATGGAAGTTGGCAAGGAAGAGACACTTCGACTGCATCCCACTTAACATCAGGTGCGATTGTGGTCAAATACCTGCCTTGTTTTGCAAAAAATAAAACAGATGTAAGTAGAAGGAGTAGAAAATAACCATATTTTTACCTACCTCAACGATTACCTATTAAAATCGTTTATAAGGTCGGTATTAAGTAGTTGTATTTAAAGTTAACGGCTTTTTCCGTACATGATACCTATGGAAAATGAGTTTTAAAAAAAGGCAAATAAACAAGATTTTCAGCAATTAAACGTCGGGTCCAGACACCTGCACATTTGCATGGGACTTGATTGAATTTCAGGGCATGCCTGAAGATCTTATTTCACTATGGGTAATTTACATTGCCTGCTGCCGATGAGGCCCGCGCTCCTCTCCTGGCTCCCCTCGCCGACGGAGCCCAATCTAATTAGCCTCTTCCCATTTAATTACGACCGCCTGCAATCTAATACCGTTAACATTGACCATTATAATTCCTAGGTAATAAATAAAATCTCAAAAATTCTTTTAACTGTTATTCTTCGATATTTATTTTACGACGGTTAATCAATCAATCAATGCCTTACCAATACTGTTATGCGAAGAAAGATCCGATTAACTTGCTTTAACATTTTAAGGAAGGACATTATAAACATATTTAGCATTCACAAACTATGATCAAATAGCTTACGTTACAGCTATGCCAGATTTACATAACCAGGCGCTTAACCCTCTGACCACAACATGGGACATAAATGACCCCACTAACTTGTTGTTTTCTACCAAGTTGTTTTAGCAAGTTTTACTGCGTATATTGGATACGTTATATCTTCTTTTGACATCGAGGTGCATGCGGGCGTCCGGCAAGGCTGCCTGCTTTCGCCCCTTCTTTTTCTGGTTTTCTTGGATGGAGTCATGAATCGCGCATATCAAGACCAACGGCGTGGAATAGAGTGGGGTATAATCGGAGTCTTAGAAGACTTAGATTATGCCGATGACCTCTGTTTGCTGAGCCACACGCATCACGATATGCAGTCCAAACTTGATGACCTACATCGAGAAGCGGGTATCACAGGGCTCAAAATTTACTGCCGGAACACCCAAGAGATGCGATCTGGTGTGAGAAATTGCACGCCATTACGGATTGGTGCAGAGGATGTGGCACGAGTCCACAATTTCACCTACCTCGGGAGCGTCGTGTCAGAAACTGAGGTACCGAAGAGGACATAACTTCGCGCATTGCCAAGGCCAGAGCTACCTTCACACAACTTCGCCCCATATGGCAGTCACGGAAATTGACCCGAAGGGTCAAGATCAAAATATACGGGTCCAACGTTAAATCCGTTCTGCTCTATGGGTGTGAAACTTGGAAGGTCACCAAGGTTGTCTCGCACCAGCTGCAGGTCTTCATCAACCGCTGCCTTCGCCGAATTCGCGGCATATACTGGCCCGAGAAAATCTCCAACGTCGAGCTATTGGAACGCTGCCACGAAATTCCGATCGACCAGCAGATCAAGCGCCGCAAGTGGAACTGGATTGGCCACACTCTCCGAAGGGACCCCGATAAAATCCCTAAGCAGGCTCTGGATTGGAATCCCCAAGGAAAACGCAAACGTGGTCGACCCAGGCAAACTTGGCGGCGCACTGTAGCGGACGAGGCGAAGAAGATCGGCAAGACCTGGAGCGAGATCAAGCGAGAAGCTCAAGACCGAACGAGATGGAGTCCGACTGTTGTGGACGCCCTCTGCCCCATCTAGGGGACATAGGACCATAAGTCAAGTAAGTCATATCTTCTTTTAAACTGACGTTTTTCATCAAAGGTCCACTTAAATTTTATAAGGCAAAAATTATTGCGTATTTGGAGTCTTACAGCTCCATGACATGTGGCTTACGACAAAAATCAATTTTATCCTTCTCATTTCACTCACGCAAAATTAACTCGTTTGCAACACTGATAAACCCTTCTTTTATGATTCGTTTTTAAATAATGAACACGACAAAAATCAATTTTACCCGAATCAAAATTCAACTTCCATTTCGGGCAACGACCCATAACTTTTATATGAATACTATACTGTATACCACTTGAACAGGTACATATAAACATCACACGAATAAAAGTAGTAATATTTTAAAATAGACAAGTAAATCACCGTCATTCTTTACAGATACAAATGTTCTAGCTGCTTCGCCGTTAGGATATGTATTGTCATGTCATGATTATTATTGTAAAGTAACGTTTTCTCAGCTAAATGTATTCGTTACAAATCAAGTTACCGTTTTTTATTCCTAATCGGCCACAACAAGAATTTATTTTGACTTACATGACAATAGGGTACTTAAATCCCCTTCCGACTTTTTAACTTTTTATCTATTAACTGCAAGCAATTTTGTCCATCAATTTGTTAACACTTTTTGTTTTGCATATCGGTCTCAAGACAAAATAATTAAAAATGTAAATTAATAAAATAACTTATCGAACACGAAAATTAATAAACTCGTCGTTAATACGGAATTAAATTGGCATTCTTACGGTTTACTTGTTCACTAATCATTGGGTTAAATGGGCTTCTGCTTTATCAAAATTTTATGGCGATCGCTAAAAGCGTCCTTATAATGTATGCATCTTGTTTATGAACATTAGCATGTTTTTAATTTCCCTGTGATGGAAATAGCGTCTCTACAAACTTGACTGGTGGGTGACTCATAGCGCTACTGAGGTGTTACAATAAAAAAATCTAGAACGTGTTGATTGCATGCTAAATGGTTTAAACCCCGTTTGATTGGTAGCGTTTAAAAAATACTTCGTCCTTACATAGTAGTAGATGTTAAGATAAAGCTGTTACGAAGCTTTTCAGAAATGCACAGGTTAAATATCGTAAAATCATTTATAATTTCCCGTTTATTACCTGCACCAGGCACTTAAACGTCCTAAAATAAC